AAAAAAAAAAAAAAAAACGCTGTTCTTAAAAACTTTTAAATGAAGCAGTTTGTGTAGAGGGCGAAAGGGACCGCTTGGGGAAAAAATTACATTCTCCGTCTGCATAATCTCCCGCATTTACTCGTCCAAATCGTTTTCTTGAACCATGTCAATGAAGTCCTGATGGTGTTAAAGGAAATAAAAGAAACCATGTATTTTGAAAGAGAGAATTTGTGGGCATGTGCGCCTAGTTGTGGAGCTGTCTACATGTGTACGTTCACCCTCTTGTTTGCCGCTAGTTCTCGCGCGTGGTGGAGCACGTACAAAGTTGTATTCGTCGTCATAAAAATCCTCAAGTTCGGTGGAAAGACGCTCGTTTATTTCAGTCTCCACTTCGAGCAGAGATTTGTTTAACGTTTCTACATTGTTAATATTGGCAACCCTTAAGAGGCTTAAATTTGTATTTCCCATTTGGAGTCTGCTGAAATATTCTCTCTTAATGTTCCACAGGCCTGCGCAGAGGGGGGAAGGTGCATTAGGTGTCTTGGGGGGGGGAGCCGTCCAAATGGTGCGGCGCGGAAGGTTATTCTGTGTAGTGGCCTATGTTGGTACACAAACACATTTGCACATATGCGCGTTGCTCATTTGGGCATTTTTTTTTTTTTTTTTTCACGTGATACGATCGTGGCCGACACAGGCACAGCTCGCTTCGCCACGTGCATATGCAAACACCTTAACGTTGCGTCATCAACGGAACGAAAAGGGAAATAAAGCAAAGCAAAATAAAATATGAAATAAAAAAAAACACAACGCACAATATGGCATTATCATTTTTCATGTTTACTGCATAGTTCCCTATAATTCGTTCTATCGAATAGGCATGATATCTGCGGGGAAAAGGTGTGTGCGTGAGAAAAGCAGGTCACGGTTGTTGCAATTACGTCGGTGTGTGTATGAGCATCCTTCAACCCACAAGAACCATAGCAACTGTGTTATCACACACATGTTAAGCTCATTTTACCTTCTTCAAAACGAGACAAACGCAATTCAAATAATTCGCAAAAAATACAAATGTGTTGAATAGGAAGTTTCCCAAGTTCTGACCATACGTGTAATAGAGTATGTCTGTCGCCAACCTTATCATTTTTCCTTTTTATTTGTTATGATTTTTGTACAGTGTGCATACAAAAAACACCTGTGGTTGTGTTTGGGATGACCTCCTCTTGTGTGTTCACTTGTTTGCAGTGTGCGGGTATTCATACTATGTGTCCGCGGATGCACTATGTTGAATGCATACATACCCATCAGGTGTATCTTATCAAATGTGAATCGACTTTGAGTCCCCTGCAGACAGCTTTAGCGTCCTCATATTTGCTGCTTCACAGGAGGACCCTTGCTACGGCAACATACGTTCGAGTTTTTGCGCTGTTTTTTTTTTTTTTGTTGCGCTGCTAGTTTAATGTTGCACAGGGTGAGGACAACGTGAGTATGCATAGTTTTTCTTTTCGTGGAGGGGGGAAACAAGAAACTGAGCAGGTGGTGATTTGTTAGCGACACTGAACGTTTGAAGGCTGACTTTTTACCATTTTATCGTTGCACACTTTAGCTGCTCGCTCAGATCAATTGTGTCAACTTTTGCTGATCGGACTGTGTAGCTATTTTTTTTTTTTTTTTTTTTTTTTTTTTCCTAATTATAATTGTCGCGGGTTTTATGATATGACACATCGGGGAAATGTTTTTCATCATTAACGCCGCAGAATTTTCATGTGACCATTTTTTTTTTTTTTAACATGGAAGTGAAATTGCATTCTTTCCCATTTTGCTGTTTACTTGGATGGGGAAAAAGAAGATTGACAATTTTGTTAAACAGTTAAAACGAAGAGAAGAAAAATATTGAAACGTTCGAAATGTTAATCCCCCCCAAAATGAGATGAGATACCGTTTTGTTACACTTGCCCATGCGTAACATGAAAAAAATAATGGACGGCATCCAAGCTAGAATAAATGACTTGTAAGAGAGGCCATTAAATGAACGATAGTTTCCTTTTAACGGAGAAAAAAGTGCCTTGTCTATTGTTCATTCCATTTTGGCCACCTTGGCGTTTCCAGACGTGGTGCCATCGTCCCGCGGTGTTCCATAGGAACACTGTATGGCTGTATGACCGTGTGACCGTTTCGCCGCTTCTCCTCCTCGCCGCCACGCGGAGTTACAAAATCTTAAAATGAGTAAAATTTTTAACGTAAAAAAAAAAAAAAAAAAACAGGGAACATAGGGGAGGGGAAAAAAAAAAAAAAGAATTAACAATTTTATTTTGTCCATCGCATGGCAAACGGGGGGAGTTACGACCCGCGCTACAAATCCGTACAAGGTGTGCATGTCCCCCCTTTTTTTTTTTTTTGTTTTTTACTCGCATCAGAATTGGCCTCACAAATGTGTTAATGGGATCCACATAGTTGGCGGGGGATGAATGAAATGGGCGAACTTGTCCAAGGGGGACAAAACTCGCTTTCGCTTGAGTGGGCTCTGCGGCGTGTGAGTAGGCGTCCCTTGACACAACTCCTGCATATTTGCATCAATCATTTCATTTTAGCGCTACGCCCTCCGCGAGTCCATGGGCAGCACTGCCTTACGCGTGTCGTTTAAAAGCTGGACAAAATTTCGCGCGCATAGGATGACACGATAGGACCAGGCCTCCCCTCTAGGGCGCTTTAAAACAGAACGTTTCCCCCTGACCACTTCACATGCCTCTCCCCGCTGCGTGGATCAGTTTCACTCAATGCAAGCTGTGTCGAGGCCCAACTGCTTGAGGACCTTCTTGTAATTTTCGACGTTCCTGTAGAGAATTTCTTCTATAGGTCCTAGAAGTCTCTTAAAGCTCTTCCTGTCGAGGTAAACCACTTGGCAGGTATCTTTGGCCTTAACAGTAGCGGCCCTGGGTTGGTTTTTCAAAAGGGCTAGTTCTCCAAAATAGTCTCCCTTACTATAGGTCTTAATAACTGTCTTGTTTTTTATTGCCACAGCTTTGCCCTCAATGATTATATAAAAAGTATCTCCCTGTTCTCCTTCCTTAATAATATCTTCTTGGTCTGAAAATGTTTTCGTTTTTAAAGAATCAGCAACTTTGGACCTCTCATATGGATCCATATCTTTTAGTATAGAAACCTGTTTAAGAAAATCTTCATACATTTTTCTCTTCTTTGCTACATTGTCTTTTATTATGTAAGTAAATGATTCTCTGTCTAGTGCCCATAAGTGACACTTGGTTAAGGCTTTTGCAGTGGCAGCTCTTTTTGAATTATACATTAGAGCCAATTCTCCAAAAACATCCTTGGACTTTAATATTGTTAATACTTCCTTTTTGTTTTCCTTCATTTTATAAATTTCTACTTCTCCTTCAGCGATTACGTATAGGAGATCTCCTTCCTCTCCTTCGTTAATTATATTTATATTTTTGTCCACATGTTGATCAAAAAAAGCGTCCACGATGGTTTCCATTTCTTTTTTATTTAGGTGATTAAATAGGAAGGAGTCATTTAAAGCTTCCCTTATTTTTTCTTTTTCGCTTTCATCCTTTTTGTATACCTTTGGGACAAAATTCAGTTTTTTTTTGTTCCATTCTCCGTATGCTTCTGCGCTCACTGACATGCGCTTGCTTTGGCCGACACTCAGCTTCGCCATGTCAGATTCCTTCAACTCCATTTCCTTCTTGTCCACTTCGCTCAGGCAATCTGTTTCGTCTCCGTCGCTGGAATACTCCTCACCTGCGTGGGGGGCACAAGCGGTGAAGTGTAGTGAGTTGGTGAAGAGAAGTGAGTTCGTGGGAGCGAACTTCCCCCCGCAGCATGAAACGGACGGCACTTACTTATGAGTATTTTCTTCTTCGCGGCTGGGGAAGGCAACTGATTAGTGCCGGAGAGCTGATTCTCTTCATGGGCACCATTGTTCGCTGGCTTACATTGGGCGTCTGCATCTTCCCTTTTATTCATTGAGGACGAATTGGACAAATTGCTTGTCCCTTCATGGACGCTGCCCTTGGATTTATCGCTGAGGCTATTTTTTTTGCTGTTCCGCTTTACATTCTCTTCATACTTTTCGAATTGCTCTTGTATATCTTTGTCATTCATGGTTGATGTGTTCTGTTCGTCAGGAATTCCTTTCCCTTGTCTCCTTCAAAAGGTGTGGGGAAGTGAAAAGTAAGCGTCGGCTGAGGTTATTTTTCGCTTATCATTTATTTGTTTACGCGCTTGTGTATTTGTTTGTTCACGTGTTCGTGAATTTGTTAACTTATTTGTTCATTTGTTTGTTTGTTTTTTTTTTTTTTTTGATTTGTTTTTTTCGCGGACGGCAACGCGTTATGCCTCACGAGTACACACAGTACGTTTCAATGCGCATGAACATGCGTAATATTGTATACACTGTGAAAATGGTTGTTTTTGTAAACCCTGCTTTGTCATGTGTTTCGCCATGTGTTTCGCGTTGCATTTCGCGATGCGTTTCGTACTGGCCAAGAATATAAACTGCTGCGTTTGCATATTCGCTTGGCTGGGCGAAGCGTCCGTTCGTCACTTCCCTCCCTCACAGAGCCCTTTCGCAGTTCGTTGAGTGCAGCGCTGTACGTCCCTTTGCACCGCGTGACGCATTCGCACACTTTGCCACATTAAGGCAAATATGTTTATTCTCATTCCCGCCTTGTTGCCCACGTGGCAAACACTCATGCGCCACCAGTGGCCTTTTTTTTTTTTTTTTAAAAAGGAGAAAATTTCCAATGAAGCGATCTCATCATTGAGCGGCCTTCCCATTTGGGGACGCATCCTATTTTTTTTCTCATTTCGAGTTGTCATTTCTGTTTTGCCACAATTGACAACCCGGGCAGCCCCCCCCACACAGACCTCCTTTCTGCGCCTTAACTCGTTGAAGCTTACCATGTGCACACATTACCCATGTTGCTATTGGTTACAGATCCAGGAAAAAATTTAAGCACACGGAAGGTGAAAAAGAAAAAAAAATTTTCCTTTGTTTGGCCTTACCCAAAGGATACAGTGCCTCGCAAGTGGTACACATGTAATATATATATGTATACATACATGCACTTTATTAATAAAATCCAAGAGGGGAAAAAATTACAAAAATAACATGTACCCACCTGGGGAGGGGGGTTTATGTAGGTACTCATATTTATATGGACACGTACACCCACGCGTATGGCTAATTTTTCCTTTGTTAATTTATGTGCTGTTGTGATGTCTACGAAGGCATGCCTGTGTTCGTTTATGCCCCATGCGGATCGGTGTAGGTACGTTATATGTGAACATATACGTACACGCACGTGTGCATGTACATACAAGTGTCAGCCGGTGGGGAACACGTGGAGCATCAAAATGGGGAAGCAAAACGTGGACGCAAAAGTGGAGCAGCAAATGTGTGTACGCAGAAAATGCAGCGAGCTCACAGCGCCACGTGTGCGCGGGCAGAGGAGAATTGGGAAACACACACACGTATGTAAATGTGCGCCTGCATGCGTACGTACATGTACAATATGCAACTGCACAAAATAACATTCAACAATCGCTACCATGCAAAGTAAATCGCAATAGCGCCAAACGCGGAAAATCGCCCCCCCTTGCTGCTTATTTTTGCGTGCATAAAGTACCTTAATGAATGCTCAAAAAAGCGTCTTCCAATTTATGCCGTGCTAGCAATTTTGCGAAAAGGTTACTAAAACTAATTATACATTCTTATAGAAATAATTATTTGTAATTCTTCTTGTGTGGATGGACGAGGTATCGGGAAATTTTTCCCGTGGACATGACCTATGCAAAAAGGGCCTACGTCAGTGTAATCTTGACGCCCTTAAATTCTGCTCGGATATTCTTACACAATTGACATATTCTATTTTTTTTTTTTTTTTTTGTTTTTCCATCAATTCACTGCACACATTTGAACTAGGCTTATTTAAAAGGTCTACTAACATTTTTATTTCGGCGCAAAACGGGGAAGGAAAAAAAGAAAAAATAAAATAAAGGGACATTCCATCCATGTAAAAATTAAACTTGAGGGATGAGACATGGTTTGTAATATTTGCATTGGACAGATTATTCATAAAGGTGAAATGAAGGAATTGTAAAATGTACTTTTTTTTGTTCCCCCTTTTAACTACAAATTGTTTCCACTTAACAATCATTTCTGTCCCAGTGTGTAAACCTTCCGCACAACCTTCGAAGGTGATGGTACCATGTGCGCCGTGGTAAAAAAAAGGGAAACATTTTTCACGGAGAAATCTTTGCAATGTTGTCATACGAAGTAGGGAAGAAAAAAAAAAAAAAAAAGGAAGTCTATACAAAAGCACATCATCAGTGTCGCTTAAAAAGTAAAATTTAAAACTGCTCAATATGTGCTCCTTGAAACAGTGAGCCCAGCGCTTTTTTTTTAATTCCTCTTTTCTCCTTTTGGCACTTTTGGGTCACACGTGCAATATCTTCACGTTTCTACATGGTCGCAGCAGCACACCGTTTTAATTAGCGAGCGACATAATTTAAATGTACACATAAATATAACATCGCTTGGTGAATATACAAGGGGCTGCCTACACCCATACCCGTATGCATATAAATAGTCATCACAGAACTGGTCTACAGGCGAGGGAGCATTTGCATTGGAGCACAAAAATGGGGAAATTATTCTTGTTTTGCTTAGAAAGGTATTCCCCATAGCAGGGGCACTGGTTTTCTCCTAGCCTCCTCTGATCGCTTTTTTTGGCATGCCCATTAGCAATAAAATAAGTACGTTTTTTTTTTTTTTTTGTTTGTTGTTTTTACATTTTTGTAATTTTTAATTGACCTATTGCAATTTTTCCATTTTCCTTTTTTATTGCCACGAGAAATATCTGTGCGGGGGAACATTACCCTCCATTCATGCTCAGTTAAACGCATGGAACGGGAGGGACAAACAAACACATGATTATTTACCTGCTCATTTGTTTGTTTCCCTTTTGATTCCACCGTCGGTGTTGCATTAAAGAAGGCGAAAAAAAATGTATCAAAATAGAACACGGAAAATGCGGCAAAAAAAAATGGAGGCAATTTCCTAATGCCCACACGAAAGGAAGGGGGAGAAAAATCTTCAAAATCACATAATGCACAACGCTAAGGCGAGAAACAAAAAAGGGCCTCCCCAAAGTACAACGAACTGTTTGCAAAAATAAATACACGTCATCTAATGGAAAAAGGTAAAGAAGAATGTTCACTTAAGTTTAAATAAAAACGAAATAAAATATAAATAAAGCAACTTTATTTTACGTAAGTACAAAATTCGTGTAAGCAGATTGGGTGGAGAATTTTGTTTTTATTGTTTCATTTTATTTTTATTTTATTATTTTATTTTTTTCAAATAGCTACAGCAGTTTTGCCTGAACAAGCAGGCGAAATTTGAAAAAAATAAAAATTGTTTCAAATTTGCCACCAGTTACAAACAACACAAGTGGGGCAAATATTCATTTGCACGCAGGCATTACGTGTACGTAATACTTACATAATAACGTATACAGTATACTTACGAAGAGTATATGCCAACGTTGCGAAAACACGCACATCGAAGCCACCTTTTTAACCTTTTTTTTTGTTTTTAAATCAACTGCCGCCGCTACTTAGGAAAATGCCTGAAGGCAGAAAAGGAACTGCGTATTCGCTTGACATGTAGCATCAGAGGTTCGCCTCCATTTTACGTCGGTACACACGGACGTGCCCGCGAGTGCACTAAACAATGCATCGCGCAACCCGTTTTTTTTGTTCTACGTGAGTCAAAAAAAAAAAAATGACAACTCGGGGGAGAAGCCCAACAACAAAGTAGCAACGACGACGTGGCAACAACGAAGTGGCAGCCGAGTAGAGGCAACCACCGAGTTACGTAACCCCTAGTAAAGGTAGGACCTGTCGGTAAATAACATGAGCAGGGAAACACTTGTACATACGCATTACACGACACGAATCGAAGAGGCCTTTTTTTCCCCTGGACAGCAGCCCGTTCCGTGTGCGACACATGTGAGCGTAGCGGGATGTGAGCCAGGGCACACCAAGGGAAGGAAGGATCGATAGTCTGAAGAGGGTGAGGACGCGAAAGGAAGGAAGCGGAAGGCACCGAAACAGAGCACAACAAATATATTGCTTAATCGAGCAGACATTACAGCAACTAGCCGAACGGAACGGATCCCCGCCGAGCCTAACCTAGCATAACCGTACCTTAGCACTGCCCTAAACGAAATGAAAATCTGCGAGAGCAAGCTGCCCATCATCCCGATCGAGGACGCCAAGAACTATTCCTGCAGCGACGACAACGACACCATCAACCTGGAGAACAACTCGAACGACCTGAACAGTTACCAAAATTTTCTGATCGGAAGTTCGCCTCACGATGTGGCGCACAAGTGCAGGGATAAGCATATGCACTCGTTGGTAAAGAAGGAGAAGAGCACAGAGAAGAATTGCAGCACTGGGGGGAGCAACGCGGGTAGCCATGCAGGCAGTCATCTGTGGAGCCACCGTGCGCGCATGCGTACAAGCGGCCGCAGTAACAATGAGAAGGGTTTAAATTTGATCAAAAGGAAAAAGGGGCTTATGAGAAAAGACCCGTATGGAAGTACGCACTTGGTATTAGGCAATATACGTAGTGGTAGGAAGTTAAAAAGGAAGCTGTTGTGGAATACTTACTATGGAGACCAAAATACAAACGTTTCTGAATTATCATACATAAAAGAATTTGAAAATAATTCCTTTATGCACGACAATAATCATCACATGATAGTGTACGAAAATAAGTACCCAGATTATGGTGCAAGAAGTACAAGAGAAAATCGAGGCCAAAAAATTAAAAATTTTTTTGTGTACTCCCCAGATATAATTCAAAGGTGGATACGAGTTATATTTAATGTGATCATAACATCCCTAATCGTGACACTAATATATTTTACATTTGTGTCCGTTAGGGAAGACATAAACAAAAAGGTAGCCATTCAAATGCAGAACGTAAAGGAAGAATCTGACTCGTGTAAGAAACAGTACTATGCTCATAAATGTGGTACAATAAATTTACCTGTCCTAAATGATAAATGTGAAGAATGGCTAAGGTGTATGAAAACTGATCATAAATTATACCAGGATTTTTCTTTCTTGTCTGCACAAATGTTGGGTCAACTTATAAATGCATTTATTGTTCAGTTTGAATGGAAGAGCATTTGTGTCATTGCTTTTATTTTCCTTTTAATTTTTATTGGTAGTAATTATGCCTTATCCATTGGTGGAGGCGGGGGTAGAGGAAATGGTAATGAGTATAATATGTATAGTCCACATATGAGTCCTCGTATGTACCCTAATGGAAACATCCCTCCTTTTCCTTACTACCAATTTTATCCTTCCATGCCTCAAGGCATGAGTTATGGCGGATCAAGTAACAACCCTGATGTCCCAATGATGAGTATTCCCTTTTCACAAAATAAATACTACTCAAGTGGAAGTGTGGGTAGATCCGGAGGGTACCCCCCAACAAATTATAGCTACCTCAATCAGTACACAAACAATAGCGAGAACAATGCCTCCACGCAGTCCAACTGCAGAAATAAGGATTACTCCGAGGTATATAATGGTGCCTCCAAGAAGGATTCCAAACGCGGGTCCAAGAAATTGGGCTTCCTCAAGTACCTCACCCCGGGTTTTAAGTAGACCTCCCCTGGGGTGTTAAATTTGGCTTAAAATTGGATGCAGATATGCCTGTCTGAGGAGGGGCGGCACTGTCCTCTCCGTGTTTATGCCCCAGAGGAGGTTTACTCCAGTGTTGTACCCCCTTTGTGCCCACCCCAAGTACGCACAAACAAAAAAGGGGGAGCCACACATATGCCCTTGCGCAGTTTTATACAATTTGATCCCCCATTTGCTGCACCCGTACAAGCGTACGATACATATGCGTATCGAAATGGGAAATGCGCAAAGATGTGAAGCAAAAAATATGTTAAGTACTTTTTTTTTTTTT